CCCCTGGCAGCGGACTCTGAGCTGCTTCCTGTCCCCCTGGCAGCGGACTCTGAGCTCCTTCCTGTCCCCCTGGCAGCGGACTCTGAGCTGCTTCCTGTCCCCCTGGCAGCGGACTCTGAGCTCCTTCCTGTCGCCCTGGCAGCGGACTCTGAGCTCCTTCCTGTCCCCCTGGACTCTGAGGACCACCCAGGCTACCTCAGAACCATCGTATCCCTAACCCACTTGGTCTCAGTTAAATGCTGCTGTGATGTCACCATGATGTCACACAATGAAACCAGACAGTTTGGAAAAAGTGCATTTATTTTCGTTTCTCCTTTCCTGACTCCTCCCCCAGGGGTGACAGACTCCGCCCCCTCCTCTGGATATGTAGGAACCCCTACCCCTTCCCAGGTTAATAAACAAACAGGAAGTTGTAATTGACTAAAAAGCGTCCGTCAGATAAAGACCAACAGTCGACCGAAACGGAAACGCGTGTAACAAAATGCTCCGCCCACTAAGGACGGCGCGGCCTCTCGTTGGTAAGCCTGGATGATTGGCAGGACAGGGGGCGTGGCCTGCACAGCCGGTCCTCTTCGACAGGAAGGAGGGGCCGAGCTAATCCGAGTCCAACTCACTAGATTCCTCGGAGGAGGACTGATCGTCGTCATCCTCCTCCTCATCATCGTTCTGCACACAGAAACAGAAAGAACATGAAAAGGTCGCCATGGTAACCAAATCTTCATAGTTCCCTTGGTTCTACGTGGGCAGAGCTTATAGGGGTTAGCATTAGCATCACCTCATCTTCGTCCTCGCTGTCGGTGCTTCCTGATGTTTCATCATCTTCATCAGAGTCCGAGGAGTTGCTCTTCTCCTCCTCTTCGTCAGAGTCAGACATGTCCTTCTGAAGAGTCAGCAAACACTCAGAAGCTGCCTGATCTCCTGACAGACGTTACCCAGGGTTCACAGCGTCCTACCTTAGCGCGGTACGCCATGGCCCTCCTACCCACTCCGACCCCTGGATTCACCGCTCTTGAGCCTCCTGCCTTCCCCTTGGCTGTTACGTGGACCTTAGCCACGGGACTGCTGGTGGCCTTGGTGGTGCTGCGCCGTTTCTGCCAACAAGAGACAAGTTGAATAGCACCAGGCGACCTGAGGGGACAGGAAAGGCGAGCCCAGGAGGGCGGTCTAGACCCGGGCGGTCTGGACCCAGGCGGACTCACCGAGGAGGAGAACTCCTTGTAGATGGCTCGATCCTGAGGGGAAAGCGACTGAGGGACCAGGAGAAGCCAGTCAGACAGAAGGCCAGCCGTGACATCACTCCCTATTTACTCTCCCATTGGCTCACCTTAACCCAGGCCTCCAGTTCCACCTTGTACTCCACCTGCTGCTCCTCAACCAGCTTCTTGTACTTGTCCTTCTGACTCTGGCTCAGCTTCTGCCACCTTTTCCCGATCTCCACCATGCGCTCCTTCAGGCTGAAGTGGTTCAGCTCTCCGTTTGTCAGCAGCTCCTGGGAGAACATCTGATACCCGCTCCTGTGGGTCAGAGTTTGGTGGTCTGTAGAACCTGCCTGGAACCGACCCACTAAGCCAAGTATTAGAACGAAAAGGTCAAACTCACACTGGGGGCTTCTTGGGTTCCCCATCAAACTTGGGTTTCCTCTGACCTGCAGCTGGTGTTCGCATCTCCAACAGCTCCCTCTGCAGGACACCAAGAGTCAGTGCAACTCACCACCACTAGAGTGGAGCACAGAGGTGGAGAGAGTGGAGGAGCAGGCCCCCCCCCCCCGCTGAGACGGGACCTTATCCTAAGGTAGTACGGCAATACGCTGACGACAAACTGCTTTAGCACTGCAATACGCTGACGACAAACTGCTTTAGCACTGCGATACGCTGACGACAAACTGCTTTAGCACTGCAATACGCTGACGACAAACTGCTTTAGCACTGCGATACGCTGACGACAAACTGCTTTAGCAATGCGATACGCTGACGACAAACTGCTTT